TGAAGAACAATTTTAACAAATATAAGCTTATTAGTATTTCAATGGGAAGTGTGGGGCTGCTTTTGGCTGATGAGATAGGATTGTTGTTGCTTTCAAGTCGTTTCAGACTTAGATTGACCCTAAGCGAGGGCTGGGTAAATAACCTTGGAGGGCCGTATGCGGCCCTCGGGCCTTAGTTTGAGGACCTGTGCATTCAAATTTTTAATGTTTTCAGCGTACCATGCAGGAGCATCTGAATATGCATTGTTAAGTGTGAAACATACGGAAAAATTGCGAGTAACAATTACTTCCAAGTCATTTGCACACTATATATATATATATATCCAATATTTCTATCCCGCCCTTCTCAATCCCCAAGGGGGGACTCGGGACAGCTTATACATACACACACACACACAAGCTATACCCCCCACGTGTTGCTGTGGCCAATCTTCCCTCCCTCTTTTTCTCTTCTGTCATTCCCTCCCTCTTTCTTTCTTCCTTTCTTTCCTTCCTTCGTTCCTTCCTTCTCTACCTCTTTTTCCCGTCCTTCTCCTCCCTTTCCCCCACTTCTTCCCTCTATTCTTGGACAGCAGTCTTCCTGATTGATCTATCTCCCTACTGTCTATTTCTATCTAATCTATATATCTTATCTATCTGGAGGATTGCTGGGAGTTGCAGTCCAGGAATAGAAAATAGGAAATATGTACAGAAAGAAATCCAAGGAGAAGCAAGCTTACAGCTTGGAAGCAGTGCATTTGGAGCATCCTCCTCCCATAAAGGGCCTGGTCTAGGGAATGCTGGGAGCTGTCGTTTTCGTGCATGCGCTATATCATCATTTAGCTTTTTAAAAGTCCTTTCTGCTGTTTTTTGGGAGGGGTTTATGAGTGATGATCACTCGTTGGTCTGTTAAGGGTGTAATGCCCACATTTCATGTCAATTCGTCCAGTTGTTTTTGAGTTATGTTAATCCCACAAACAAACATTACATTTTCATTTATGTAGATACCAGCCGTCCCCAGACACTTGTTGCTGTGGCCCAGTCTGTGTCTATGTGTTTTGTGTGTGTGTATATGTGTGTTTGCGTATATATATTTGGTTTTGTGCATGTGTTGTAATGTATTCTTTTATATATATATATTGGCCTTTTTAAGCCCCTTCTGCTGTGTTTTTCAGTGTTTTTATGAGTGATGGTCACTTGTTGGCCTGATAGGTGTCTTGTGTCCAAATTTGGTATCAATTCGTCCAGTGGTTTTGAGTTATGTTAGTCCCACAAATGAACATTACATTTTTATTTATATAGATTGTGTTTGTGTGTATGTGTGTTTGCGTGTATATATATGTGGTTTTGTGCATGCATTATAATGTATATTTATTTATTTATTTTGGTTTTTAAGCCCCTTCAGCTGTGTTTTTCATTGTTTTTATGAATGATGGTCACTCATTGGCCTGATAGGTATCTTGTGTCCAAATTTGGTGTCAATTTGTCCAGTTGTATTTTAGTTATGTTAATCCCAGAAACGAACATTACATTTTTATTTATGTAGATGTATACACAGAGAGAGAGAGATATGTATAGCACTCTATTCTAAAACACATCCTGTTTTTCGGGGTGTTTATATAAGGGGAAATTGCACTGTTGAAGCATCGAAATACAGTATTAACCTTTCGAATGAGATGAACTAGTTGAAGTCCTGACTATTGTTTTGTCAAAGCGATTGGGGAGAGACGCCGCTGAGTTTTTGTCTGCGTTTCTTCTTCTTCTGATATGTTACAGGAGTTATTATTTTTACATCAGGGTCTGACAAGAGCAGGCAGCAGTGGAGCAGGTTATGGCTGAATGCCATACCCAGGGAAGCCGAGAACAATAGGTAGCTTTGGAAAAGGAAAACTGGCAGGTCCCTCTGAGCAAAGTCTCTGAGACAGGCTGATGTGCAGGCAGAGGTTGATGTGCACCAAGGAGACATGTCAGGCTGTTGCTCTACTGATACTTCAGCATATCTGCCATATTCAATACACCAGGGATAATCTCATGAGCTGTTTGTTTTGACTGATTCTGTACAAGTCAGGTTTGTGTCGGATCCTATTGCTGGTGCAGGTTTGGAACCATGACGTGTATTCTTTTTGCCATGCTTAAGATGCTTTGAAACTCGTCAATAGAAAAACAACAGATGGTTAAAATGCAGGACCGGAATTTGCGAGATCCAGGGTCACGTACTTACAGAGTGACACTCAGTTGGATTAGTTACACTTTCTGTTATCTTGCAAGGTTGTCATTGCTACAAATTGGGGATGACGGGAGCTAGTTGGGCCTTACTTACTTACTTACTTTACTTAGGCGATCCCTCGTTTTCCGAGGAGGATTGTCTTCCAGTATTCTGGTGGGTCCGTATGTGGCTGTGGAGCCCTATTCTTGCTCTGCATATTCTTCCGCAGTGAGGGCATTGGTTTCCAGGTGGAAGGCAGTCTCGGTCGGGGTTGGCTTGATGTGCCTTCCTCTTGGCACACTTCTCCCTTTCGCCCTCCATTCATGCCTCTTCAAATTCTGCAGCACTGCTGGTCACAGCCGACCTCCAGCTGGAGCAGTCAAGGGCCAGGGCTTCCCAGTTCTCAGTGTCTATGCAGGTTGGCTTTGAGCCCATCTTTCAATCTCTTTTCCTGTCCACCAACATTCCATTTTGCGTTCTTGAGTTCGGAGTAGAGCAACTGCTTTTGCATCCGGACAACGTGGCCAGTCCAGCGGAGTTGATGGCGGAGGACCATCACTTCAGTGCTGGTGGTCTTTGCTTCTTCCAGCACGCTGACGTTTGTCCGCCTGTCTTCCCAAGAGATTTGCAGGATTTTCTGGAGGCAGTGCTGATGGAATCGTTCCAGGAGTTGCATGTGACGTCTGTAGACTGTCCATGTCTCATAGGCATATAGCAGGGTTGGGAGGATAATAGCTCTATAAACAAGCACCTTGGTCTCCCTACGGATGTCCCGGTCCTCAAACACTCTCTGCTTCATTCGGAAAAATGCTGCGCTCGCAGAGCTCAGGCAGTGTTGTATTTCGATGTCGATGTTGACTTTGGTGAAGAGGTGGCTGCGAAGGTAGCAGAAATGATCAACATTTTCTAATGTTACACCATTAAGCTGTATCGCTGGCATTGGAGAAGGGTTGGTTGGTGTCTGCTGGAACAGCACCTTGGTTTTTTCGATGTTCAATGACAGACTGAGCTTCTGCGAAGGTGTTTAGAGTGGCTTGTAGATCTTCTTCTGAATGCGCACAGACGACGTTGTCATCAGCATACTGGAGTTCTATAAAAGATGTTGTTGTAACCTTGGTTTTGGCTTTCAGTCTGCTGAGGTTGAATAGCTTGCCATCTGTCCGATAGATGATTTCCACTCCGGTTGGGCCACTTTGACCTGACTAGAGGAAGAATGGAAGGCAGACATTAATTAATCATCATCAGTGCCCATAAAAGCTCTCCAAAAGATATGGAAACACAGTCCTACAGAATGTTAGGCAAAATTTATGTTTTTTGGTCGTGGGCACCATGGGGTGCCGTTTTGTTAGGTGCCCTGAGTCCCTCTGCGGAGGTCGAGATAGGACGGGATAAAAATGTCTGAAATAAATAAATAAATAAATAAATAAATAAATAAATAAATAAAATAGCTTAACAATTGGATGGCTACACAATTTTGACCCTTGTCCATGCCTTTATCCATCCTACAACACAGAAGGGTAGGTGATTTGGCACTGCCCCTCCCATTGCCCTTTGCCATTGACTGTATTCAGGGGCGGCTCAACCATTACGCAAAGTAAGCATTCGCCGTGTAGTTGATTTTGCCCAGGGGCGCTCTTGAGGCGCTCTTGGGGGAAAATAGACCTTGACATATGCAAGTTGTAGTTACTGGGATGTATAGTTCACCTACAATCAAAGAGCATTCTGAACTCCACCAACGATAGAATTGAACCAAATATGGCACACAGAACTCCCATGACGAACAGAAAATATATATCAATGATTGGTTGGAGGGGGGGGGGAGCACCAAAATACTGTTTGCTTACCGTTGAAAATTACCTAGGGCCGCCTCTGACTGTATTGACTCCAATTGATGGGGATTTCAGTCCAACAACATCTATGCAATGTGATAGAGGGACGGTTGAGATGAACCAGAGGCTTTCTGAAGAAGCAGAGTTTTTAACAAGGGACTGGGTGGAAACAAGAGAAGTACGGTGGTCCACGCTCTTGTTACATTTTGAATAGACTACTGCAATGCACTCTACGTGGGGTTGCCTCTGAAGACTGCCCGGAAGCTTCAACTAGGCCAACGTTCAGCAGCCAGGTTGCGCACTGGGACTGGATACAGGGAGCGCTCAACACCCTTGTTACGCCAACTCCACTGGCTGCCTATCAGCTTCCGAGCACAATTCAAAGTGCTGGCTTTGGCCTATAAAGCCCTTAACGATTCTGGCCCTGTTTACTTGTCCGAACGTATCTCCCGCTATGATCCACCTAGGGCTCTAAGATCATCTGAGACCCTGCTCATTGTCCCCCCATTGTCACAATTGCGTCTGGTGGGGACAATTGACAGGGCCTTTTCTGTGGTGGCCCCTCGGCTGTGGAACTCCCTCCCAAGTGAAATTAGATCTGCTGCATCCCTCTTGACCTTTTGGAAACAAGTAAAACCCTGGCTATGGGATCAGGCCTTTGGAGAATAGGCTGGCCTACTGACGTGTTGACTTATTTAGAACTGATAATGGATAATGATTTAAATCGGTGACCACTGACTATTTGTTTTCTGTTTTTATATTGTTTATACTGTTTTATATTGTTGTTGTTATTACTTTGCTGTTAATTGTATATTTATGTTTTGATATGGGTGCCATGGGGTGCCACTTTGTTAGCCGTCCTGAGTCCCTCTGCGGAGGTTGAGAAAGGACGGGATATAAAAGTCCTAAATAAATAAATACTAAAGCCTCCAGTCTTATTGCTCTGTGTGTTGAGCTGATTTTAACAGCCACTTTCCTTCCCTAAGGGAAGAAGCAATGCTGTCCACCTATTTTGAAACCATCAATGACCTCCTGTCTTCCTTTGGGCCAGTTCGAGACTGTTCGCGCAACAACGGCGGCTGCACACGCAACTTCAAGTGTGTATCAGATCGGCAAGTGGACTCCACAGGCTGCGTGGTATGTATACCTCTGTGTCTTAAGGAAAGGGGTCAGATTGTCCTTATAATAAATGCTCCCCTTTGCGTAGTGTCCACCGGTTGCTCCTGTGTCAATGGGGTAGCAAATCATAAAAAGGATCTCCAAGGTGCTGAATTCTATCGAAAGAATGAAGTTCAATACCTTGGAGAGCATCTCTCTGTCAGGATTATTTAGTTTTTCAATGTGATTCTATGTAATTCAAGATGGATTCTATTCTGCTCTATTGTGTATTAGAAAATGCTGTGCTGAGGCTGTGAAACTGTAACCTTGACAGAAATGAGATAACGTGTTCTCTGGCTGGGAAGAAGAGGGAGGAACTGGTCTCAGTCAGAAGTCAGATAAGCAGATGTTCTGAGACTGTTGTTTTTTGCCTAGGAGTTCCTGTCTGTAGCTTGCTGTGAATAGATGTGTGTAGATGTACTTAGTAAAACTTAGTTTTCTGTTATAACTGAAAGTCTGCAGAGTCCTGATTTCTGAACACAGTGTCTGCTGATCTAGCAATCCTTCCGCTGGCAAGTGTCAATACTCTGACACTCTCATAGTTGAATTACAACATGGAGTGGATTAAAACCAGCTCTCATTTGAGTTTTTTTTTTGGGGGGGGGGGTGGTTGAGGGTTGTTGTTATAGATCAACCACCATTTAACTGATGATTTAGAGAGGATTGTGAGCTTCCCTGTGGCACAAAATGATGGGCTCTGAAGTCTGGGAAATTCACATCTGGAAAATAATGGTTTTCTTTGTGAGAAAGCCAGCTTGGAAAGTGCAGGGTCTCAAAGAGAGTCAGAAGTAGCAACAACAGATAAGGAATTGAATGAAGAACTGAGTGATGAGGGTTTCTGTTAGAATCCACCTAGAGCTACTGAGATCAAAAAAGGTCTTATTTTACAAATCAGAGCTGAAAATAGGTTGAGTCATTCAGAGAGATTATGTAGGAAAGTCGTAAGAGAAATTCACGGAAAATGAAATGATTTCATGAGTGTCTATTAAACAACAAGTTGTGTACCTTAAAGTCAGTTCAGGCAATGCTGCATTAGAGTGCGAATCTAAGCCTGAATTCTCTTGTTCCTGGTTCAAGTCAAGCTTTGATTTTGGATTTTATATATATCCTGGGAGTTTTCTATGTTCCTGCTCATGTGCTTCTGTTGAAGGTTTACTAGTTACACCTTCTTTATTGCGGCCTTATGCTGGATCTGTGATTTCTGGCTGTTCCTGGACTTTGTCACCTCTGGAACATTTGGAGTGTTATTTGGTTATTACCTGTTGCTCAATCTTTTTGGATTAAATATCTTCCTTTCTTATTCCTGATTTTTAATGCTTTTTATATGTTTCTACGACAAAATATGTTTCTACAACAAAATATATGTTTCTACAAAATGTTTGCTTATATTCCTGAACACAACAGAACATACAAGAACACATACATCAAAACAATACAAAACAGCATCAATAAACTTATAACTACTAAGAGAAATTAGAAATAGAGGTAAAATAAATATGAAAAATACTAATATTTAAATAGAACATAACTACACTGAAACTCATGTGCCCTGAAAAGTTAAACAACGAAAATGCATAAAAGTGCCTACCAAGGACAGCAATGAAACTAAGGAAAGGAGCGGTTTGATGATAGATCTGATTCATGGGGAGCCAACAGAAGTTGGCAAAGTAGGGGGCTGGACTAGATGGCCTTTGGGTTTTCTTCCAACTCTAGGATTCTGTAATTCTAAACTGTCATACTCCTTCCATCCTTTTAAAAAGAGAATTAGCTTTCTCGGTGTGTCAGCACCTACAAGATGCTGGCTGCAATTTGTCTGAAAAGGGGATTAAAAAACAGCTTGTATGCATGTGCACAAACTTTCTCTTGCGCACTCTCTCTCTCTCACCCACACACACATGTACACACAGTGTCAGGTGTTTCAGTTTGCCATCTGGTCAATTTTATACCTGCCTGGCTGTTTTGTTACTTTGCCACCTGGCTATTTATTTTTAAGCTGTGCCTCGGTGCTAGACAAAAGACATTTAAATTTGCACATTCAAGCGCTGTGACCAGATTTGCGACAGTCACCTCCTAGAAGTAGACAGGAAACTTGATTTTAGTCTGTAATTCTTTCAAGTAGGTTCAAAAATCGGCAGCCTTCAGGGTGCAGTTGACCTGCAATTGACATCATCCCCATTAAAATGCTGATTAGAGATAATAATAATAATAATAACAATACGATACGAGGATTTAAAGATCAAACTGAAAAGACTCTGGTACAAGCCAGTCAAGGGGGTCCCAGTGGTGATCAGCACACTGGGTGCAGTGCCTAAAAACCTTGGCCTGCACTTAAACACAATCGGCACTGACAAAAACCTCCACCTGTCAGCTGAAAAAGGCCACCCTACTTGTATGTATTCGCCAATACATCACACAGTCCTAGACACTTGGGAAGGGTCCGACGTTTAATCTAAGACAACAGCATCAGCGTGATCTTGTTTGCTGTGTACTCATCTTGTTGTGTATCAAATAATAACAACAACAACAACAATAATAATTTATTACCCGCCATTCATTCTTCCATACATCCACTTTTATCAATGCATTCATCAATATCTTTATTCATCTATACATCAGTCCTTCTCCATCCATCTATCCATCTCCCTTCCCTCTGTCTCTCAATTCATCCTTCTGTCCATTCATCCCTCTATCCATTCTTCTATCCATCTCTTTATTCCATCCCTCCTTCCATCCCTCTATCCATCTATCTATCCCTCCCTCTATCCATCCATCCTTTTATCCAACCTTTTATCCATCCATCCATCTTTCTATCCATCCCTCTATCCATTCTTCTATCCATTCCTCTATCCCATCCATCCATCCATCCCTGTATCCATCCTTCTATCAATCCATCCATCTGTCCATCCTTCTATCCATCCGTCCCTCTATCTATCCATTCATCCATCCCTCTATCTATCCATCCCTCTAGCCGTTCTTCTATTCATCTATTAGTCTACCCGTCCTTCTATTCATCCGTCCCTCTATCAGTACCTCTATCCATCCTTCTATTCATCCATCCCTCTATCCATCAATCCATCTATTCATCCCTCTATTCATTCTTCTATTTATTCATCAGTCCATCCATCCTTCTATCCATCTGTCCCTCTGTCAATCCCTCTATCCATCCCTCTATTCAACCATCCCTCTATCTTTCAATCCCTCTATCCATCCTTCTATCCACAATCCATCAGTCTGTCCATCCTTCTATCCATCTGTCCCTCTATCCATCCATGCGACTATCTATCCATCCCTCTATTCATACATCCCTCTATCTATCCGTCCCTCTATTCATCCATCCATCTATCTCTCCATCCCTCTATTCATGCATCCCTCTATCTATCCGTCCCTCTATTCATCCATCCATCTATCCGTCCCTCTATTCATCCATCAATCCATCTATCTATCCATCCTTCTATTCATGCATCCCTCTTTCTATCCATCCCTCTATTCATCCATCCATCTATCTATCCATCCCTCTATTCATCCATCCCTCTATCTATCCATCCCTCTATTCATCTATCTATCTATCTATCTATCTATCTATCTATCTATCTGTCTGTCTGTCTGTCTGTCTGTCTGTCTGTCTATCTATCTATCTATCTATCTATCTATCTATCTATCTATCTATCCCTCTATTCATGCATCCCTCTATCTATCCATCCCTCTATTCATCCATCCCTCTATCTATCCATCCCTCTATTCATCCATCCATCCATCTATCCATCCCTCTATTCATCCATCTATCCATCTATCTATCTATCTATCTATCTATCTATCTATCTATCTATCTATCTATCTATCTATCTATCTATCTATCTATCTATCCCTTTATTCATCCATCCATTTGGGAACAGGAGGGAGGACAGTTGCCAAGCTCTGTAAATAAAAAGATAGCTTATGGTCATTGACAAACTAGTATGTTTGTGCATGTAATGTATGTATATCTAGCACCTGCAGTACTGAGTTATGACTGGGAGGAGACGTGACTCTACAGAGTCTTCTAAGTCATTTCTGAACCCGGCAGAGTGTTGCTGCAGAGGGCATGCTTAGCAAAATGCAGGATATTGTGCCTTGTACCACAATGCTCGGGAGACAGATGAATTTCAACATTGAAAGCAAAATCATGATGGAGTGGCCTTGTAAAGGGCAAAACAAATATATAGGGAGAGAAAGAGGGAGAGAGGAAATAGATGTGACTCTTGCGGAAGACAAGTGGTAGTGGGTTGCGAAAGGAAGAGTCATTACTCATGGAAAGGAAGGAAAGCATTAAGGTAGACATTTTTTTAAAGCCTCTGTCATAACCTTCCTTTGTTATTGTTGTTCCTGGAAACTAAAAAAAACCTAAAGGATTTAGGTGTTTCTGGGCTGATGGAAAGGGAAAACAAACATAAATTTGGGAGTTGTAGTTGCTGGGATTTATAGTTCACCTACAATCAAAGAGCACTCTGAACTCCACCAAACATGGAATTGAACCAAACTTGGCACACAGAACTCAAGGGGAAAATACTGGAAGAGTTTGGTGAGCACTGACCTTGAGTTTGGGAATTGTAGTTCATCTACCTTTAATCAAACAATGATTAATCTGGACCAAACTTTGCATGAATACTCAATATGTCCAAATACAAACACTGTTGGAGTTTGGGGGAAATAGACCTTGCCATTTGGGAGTTGTAGTTGCTGGGATTTATAGTTCATCTACATCCAGAGAGCACTGTGGACTCAAACAATGATTAATCTGGACTAAACTTGGCATGAATACTCAATATGTCCAAATACAAACACTGTTGGAGTTTGGGGGAAACAGACCTTGCCATTTGGGAGTTGTAGTTGCTGGGATTTATAGTTCATCTACATCCAGAGAGCACTGTGGACTCAAACAATGATTAATCTGGACCAAACTTGGCATGAATACTCAATATGTCCAAATACAAACACTGTTG